CGGGCGAAAACGGCTAATTTTGGCCGACACGGGTCCGATCCCCGTGCAATATCTAGGTGACCAGGGGTCCGACCGGCACGGGGAAAACAGCATCGTGTAGAGAATCGAACGGGCTATCGAATGGTGTGCGTTGCAGAGGATAGCACGCGCACGTGCACCGGGGAGGGCACTTTTATTTGAAAAATTGACGTTTTGGACGGATTTGGGAATTCATATTATTTTTAGGTGACCGTCAGACGGAGCGAGTTGAAACAACGCCTATTGGCAAGAGGAATGTACCGCCTCTCATGGAAAAATTGTGAAAAGCTGATTGATCCAAATCAAGGTGGTACAAATCACGGGAGAAAATGGTGTTTGTCAATTTTGTGCCACTTTATTAATCACACGGGTTTTGCTCAATGATCTGATCTCTCTGGCAATTAAAAATGGCACCGTTGGAAAGAGCATTCAATTCTGTCCAAGGTTAAGTCTTCATTTTTGCATGATGAGCAAGAGTATGCTTAAAAATGTAAATTTTCCAAACCATTGCATCGTCATTTTTAGCGAAATTCATCGATGGCCCTCAAAAGACTTCACGCCAGTTTTCGAATCATTCTAAAGTAGAACGCATGATAATACGACACGGGCACCTCGATGCGATGTATCTTTTTATTACAAAATGCTTGGCCGTCAAAAAGCAATCGAACGAAATGGATACCAGCCAAATCGACACAGACCAACCCAATACCCACGGGTCTAAAATAACCCTTCTTCGCGTTGCGGAGCACGCGGGTAACCCTAGTAGTTCTCTATTGGAGCTTCGGGGATAGGATAGTCCTTCAAAAGCGGGGGAAATTTTACATATGAGTCTTTGTAAGAAGTGCCATTTCCCATTGCACTTACATTCCCAATGCGCTTACACATGCATAATACTTATGATCACCGAAGATTGTAAGTATATTTATTTATTTATTTATACATACAACAACATCCACATGCATCGTGGCTTTTCAGTTGAGGTGAATATGAGATCGAAACACATTACTATGGCAAGGATACGGATAGGATACGGGACAATGTGATAGGATGGTGCAGAACTGCGAGTGCTGCTGCTGCCCAGTTGGCGCTGCGCACATCTGCAGCCTGCAGCACCAGTGGCGCAGCCAGGATTTTGTTTCGGGGGGGTCATCGCCTCCAAAGCGGGCCCCCTAGTGTGCGGGCCCCCACCCATTTTTCAGAATCTTTCCATATTTCATACGCATTCTGCTGAGCGGGCCCCCTTTACCTACACGATAACCCTGAGCGAGTTCGAATCGGAAAATTTTGATAGAACAATAGCTCGGTAATCACCCGGTGTTCAATTTCTACGCGAATTGACCATGACAGAAATATGTTACTATGACGTATGAATTCGTATCTTTCGAGGACGAAATGTGCCCTTTCCGCAATATGCATAGCATATATGCAAACGGAGCTGTAGCCTGCTTCCATCGGATAAGATTTAAGTAGTTCCATATGCCTGTCCTAAGTCATCTATTGGCTGCTGTAGAAGATTGTGCCTTTATCCTTCTTCATTACGTAAATTCGATCACAAGAAGTTTTAAACCTCGCCGGCACAGGGGGGAGGGGATGATGCAACCCCCTAAGGGTTTTCACGAATAACTTGCGTAAAAAGCGGCCGATCGCGACAACACTTTAAGTACCCTCGCGTTGATCAGTTTTACACCTACCCTAGAAATTGCATGACCCTGACTCAAATGACCTTTCACCTGTAACCTAATTTCCGAGACCAGTTTTGGCCAGAATCGCGTTTCGGCGTATGCCGACTCGCATTAGCCGCGCGTTTGCAGTCTTTTCGTGGTTTCAAGCGTTCAAACATGTGAGTTGATGCTGCTCCCATGCATTAGAGTGGGTGTCAAGGTCACCTGAAGGTCAGGTCAAGTCATTGACCTATGACCTCGGTACTTTTTCAAATTATACATGTTTCTAGGCTAGTTTATGGAGCTGAATTAGAATTTAGCAACCATTTGAACATTCACGAAGTAGTTTTGGTGACTTCGTCACGGTGACGGGTCGCGGGCCCGGCCGGCGGCCTGGGGCATCGCCCCATCGGCGTCGGATAGGCGTGTAATTCGCGGGGCGATGCGGGGCGGGACGGGATCCCTCGGTGCTCCCACCAGATGTTTGAACCTTTGTTGCGCTAGCACTGTACATGAGTGACAGGATGATACATGAATGAATTATGTGTGTGTAATGCGCAATGCCTACACTAGCACAGTACATGAGTGACAAGAAGACACATCAGTGAATTATGTGTATGTAATACGCATGCCTATTACATGAATGACAGGATGGTACATGAATAAGTTGTATGTATTTATTGCGCATGCCTATACATGAACGAAATAAACGTGAAAAAAAAGTTTTGGTGACTTCGTAGCATGTTAGAAGCTGCTAGAGGCGGCTGACACGTAGGTACTACAAATACCCGGCAGGACTCCTACTGGTTGACCTGACCTGACCTGACCGGACCTGACCTGCATTTAGCATGAAGACATCATCTGTGATCAAAACTAACATGATAACTATTCGTGATCAGCACCCCGAAAAACCCTATAGCAGCCACACTTTACGACGTTCTGACAGGTCCCGATTTTCCCGATTTTTGGGTCATTGACCTGACCTGGAAGGTCAACCAATGACCAAGAACCTTGAAATTGAGTATCAACGGCTTACTCTCGTCACGGGCAACACGTTCCTTTTTTCCGCGAAGCTCTAGCTCGATCATGGGCCAAACGCGGGGGGGGGGGTCGTACCGTACCTGGAAAATTGACGTTTCGGACAGATTTGGGACTTTATGCTATTTTCGGGTGACTGACGGAGCGGGTTCTAACAACGCCTGTTGGCAAAATAAATGCACAGCCTCGCATGGAAAAATTGTGAAAAGCTAATTGATCAAAAACAAGGTGGAACAAATCGCTGGAGAAAATGGTATTTGTTAATGGCTTACTTAATTACACGGGTTTTACTGGATAACCTGGTACGTTTGACAGTTGAAAATGGCATAGTTGGAAAGAGCATTCAATTTTGTCCAAAATCCAACCATCGCTTTTGCATGACGAGCAGCAGTATTCTTAAATGTTTCAAACCTCTTCATAGTAACTCATCGATGGCTTTTATTTATCAATAACACGTCAACCTTTGTTATAAACTACACATGACATGTTCTATAGTAGAACGCATGCTCATCAGACACCAGCACCTCGATGCGATGGATATTTTTTCCCAAACCAAAATGCTTAGCTGTCAAAAAGCAATCGACCGAAATGGATACATAACCCACGGACACAAGACCAACCAAACGCCCACCGATCGAAAATACCCCTTATTCGCGTTGCGGAGCAAGCGAGTCACCCTAGCGGGCCCCATTCAACCGGGGACCCGGGCCCTATCCACACGGGGGCGCGGGCCCTATCCACATGGGGGCCCGGGCCACGTTCACCTGGGGCACCGGGCCCCGTCCACCCGGGGCTCCGGGCCCCGTCCACCAGGGGTCCCGGGTCCCATCAATCCGGGGGCCCGGGCCCCGTTCTCCCGGGGGCCACCCGGGGGTCCGGGCCCCGTCCACCCGGGACCCGGGGCCCGTTCTCCCGGGAGCCCAGGCACGTTCTCCGGGAGGCCCGGGCCCGTTCTCCTGGGGGCCCGGACACATTCACGGGGGCCCGGGCCCCATCCAACCGGGGTTCCGGGCCCCGTCCACCAGGGGCCCGTTCTCCCGGGGCCCCGGACCCATCCACGGGGGGCCCGGGCCCGTTCTCCCCAGGGGCCCGGGCCAGTTCTCCCGGGGGCCCGGGCCTGTTCTCCCGGGGGCGCGGAGCCCATCCAACCGGGGGTCCGGGCCCCGTCCACCCGGGGCCCGTTCTCCCGGGGGATCCACGGGGCCCGGGCCCCATCCACCCAGGGGCCCGAGCCAGTTCTCCCGGGGCCCGGGCCCCATCCAACAGGGGTCTGGGCCCCGTCCATCCGGGGCCCGTTCTCCCGGGGCCCCGGACCCATCCACGGGGGGCCCGGGCCCCATTCACACAGGGGGCCCGGGCCCGTTCTCCCAGGGGCCCGGGCCAGTTCTCCCGGGGGCCCGGGCCCGTTCTCCCAGGGGCCCAGACCCATCCACGGGGACCCGGGCCCCATCCACCCAGGGGGTCCGGGCCCGTTCTCCCAGGGGCCCGAGCCAGTTCTCCCGGGGGCCCGGGCCCCATCCAACCGGGGGTTCGGGCCCCGTCCACCCGGGGCCCGGGGCCCGTTCTCCCGGGGGCCCGGACCCATCCACGGGGGGCCCGGGCCCCATCCACCCAGGGGACCCGGGCCCCATCCACCCAGGGGGCCCGGGCCACTTCTCTCGTCCGGTTAGATTAGGACCTCTCTCCTCCCTCCCTCCCTCCCTCTCTCTCTCTCTCTCCCTCTCTCTCTCTCTCTCTCTCTCTCTCTCTCTCTCTCTCTCTCTCTCTCTCTCTCTCTCTCTCTCTCGAGCGGGCCCCTGACAGAAATTTCGGGGGGGTCAGCTGACCCTCTGACCCCCCCCCCTGGCTGCGCCACTGTGCAGCACACATCATAGATTGGGGTCTCACTATAAACTTTACTTACGAAACTCTACGAATTAAATCTAGAAACAAGGAGTTGTAGGTACTATCAAAACGAATTCATGAGAACTAGGAAATAGACAAGAGAGAAAAACGCGAGCCTGTACAGGAGAAGACATAGAGAAAGGGAGATAACCTCCAAAAACCTATATGCGTTGTATGCTCATCCCTTACCCTCTCTCTGTTTCCTCTTTTTCATAGCTCTGCCACCAAAATAGGTCAACCACCCTTGCACAAAAAATATGTATGTTAATGTATGTATGCATGTATGTATTTATTTATCTAAACGTCAACAAGTATCACACACCCAGCTACAGACGTAGTCATTGATTGAAACGAATCCTTGAGGGTGCTAACGATTTGTCCTTTTCGTTTCAGGTTGCTTTTCCACCACCATGGTTTTAATGATGCTTCAACTTCTCTGCCTTATAATGGCCAGCAGTGTCCCTGGTGGTGAATCGTTGAACCTCAACTTACACCGTTCGCCGCTAGGTGGGTGTATAAAACATAACCGCGAATATCGAACTTGGCTCTTTGAGTGAGCTTTTGTCATTTGTCTAAAATTGTACAATTATTTCTTTTCTGTGAACGTAAGCATTCTTGCCTAGATTAAGCTAATTAATGTTGTTTGTGCCTGTCCCTCTTTTTTACTGGCTGTTGTGTCTTTTTGAAAAAAATGCTTTGGGTGTATCAGGTACTGAATGAATGCATTTTTATTAATCTAATTGTAAGTTGCACGAGAACTCATCCGTAAATTAGTGAGAAAAAGAGCGAAGTTTGGTTATGACTAAGACTTAAGCCTTTAGGTATCTTAAATGCAGTTTTTTAATCACCGATGTGACATAACTATCTTTTTTCCCCCAGTGACGTCACCAATGGACAAGCCGGCTGGCCGCACGCGGAGGTCTCTGGTGCCTCGTCAGAGCCTTCCCGGAAGTGTGGGATTTGCAGTTTTCAGCGGGCGACAGTTCGACATTCTACCTTTCCAAGGTATCGTACCGCACACCAGCCAGCCGGCCAATCAGCAGTCACGGCTCACCGGCTCGACCAATCAGCGAGGCCGTCACACTGTGTCGACCAATCAGAGCGGCCGGAAGAGGTTCGCGCCGACCAATCACGGTGCTCGACGCAGCGTGACCGGCGGAAGTGCGCTCCGTCGGACGGGCATTTTTGCAGCGCTAAAGAACATCAGAAATAAATCAAGTATGTTTGGGCCTCATCAGCAAGGTCAAGGTGATGGCCTTGGTGTCCGCGACAGTTCATAATTTGTACACTGTTCAGAGTTCACGGGCGGCCTATGTTTGCATATGTTTAGAGGTGATTGTTTTTAATATTTATATTGTACCTACTGACGTATATCAACCAGAACATGGCTTCAGGTCACACATCCCCTGAGATAAATATGCAAAGATGCATTTGCATTTGCAGATATGGTGTATCTTACTGCATTTACATACGACACGTCTGATCAATGTCCCTTACATGAATGCCTACCGATCCTATAAATCACAAGTACTAGTTAGATCTACATTATAAAAACGGTTGATAAAATATGGCACTTTCGAAAGACGTTTGTGTGTTTCATGCAATTAATACAAACCTAATTTTAGTCACACATTTAAGGTGTATTTTTCGTTGAATTTCACCTGACGCTAACGATATTTGACCATTTCAGCTCGGCAGCATCTTCGATCTCCTCCTAGAAGACAATTCTTCCAAAACTCCAAACTCAACTCAATAACGCGCCAAATCTTCCAAATCAAGCAGACAACGCGAGGCAATTCTGTCAGAACGAAAAGCGTGCTTAGTGGATTGAGCCGCTTCCAGCAGAAACCGAGCCGCAATGTGTTTCTCAGCAGCATCACCAAAGGCGGCGGCAGCGGCGGCAGTGGTCTTCGGGGATCCACCAAAACAACGTCGGCCTCGCCCATAGGCATCGTGGTGACAAGTCACGGTAAGTAGTGCTTCCGTACTAATTTTGGTACTGTCTGACTTTTTTGAAAGAATTTACTACATTTTGTGTAGTGGTTGCTCGTAACAAAGTCCGGCTTGTCAGCTTGTGCTCAAAATTTATATGTGACATGATCATGTCCATTGTTAGGTAGCAAACTAACCGACCGCTCAGTTGCTCTGCAAACTAACTAGGTAGGCACACGGAATACCAAGATATTTTGCAACGGAACTTGGCAGACCTGACAAGTTTCGTATGTATGTAAATTCCGTACGTATGTATCATAACTGTATGATGATAAGTAGACGACCCAGTGGCAATAATTGAGCGGTAATTCGACATATTGATCAATTAATTGTTAGTAATCGCTGGTAGAGCAAACCTTTGTGAATGTCATCAAGCAGTGGTCGGTTGGTCCCCCAGGGTGCTTTTTATGCCGGATAGGGCCATTACCCCCTCCTGTCAGACCCCAGTGCTCCCACAATTAACCTTCACACTTATTCAGGGGTAAGTAGGATGAATCCCTCCTAAAAAGAATACACCATTTCGGTTTGTCATAAATTACTCCGGTAATGATAACCGTATTTCTACACATATTTCAATACCTCCGAGGTAATAATTTGCAGGCCTAATCTGAACGATAATGACCTGGATTTAAATGACCTTTATCTGTGACCTCTTCCTCGAGACCATGCCAAGCCAGGAGGTCAATTCGATGCATTCAGATACACTAACTCAATTCGTGTGAATCATGAATTCTTAAATGATGATGGTTTGCCCAGAGACCCTCAATACTCCTGCCGAAGAGTTTTGTTACCCCTAGAGAGGGAATGCCCCAACATTTGCCGACCCCTGACCTGAGGGTTTGGGGCCTCTTGCATCAAAAAACCTAGGTAGGTAAAATTGTTTAACTATTTTTGTAGTTAGCTATCCTACAGTGTTAATTCTTTTGCACTGCAGCTCGTAACGAAACGTTACAAGTACGTGGCTCAAGGTTGTACAGGAAAACCACCTTTTGTTTGATTAACCCGCGCCCTGCTGGGTGGAGGTGTTTGAACACCCCCCCCCCTTGTGGTTTTTCGCGAATTACTCAAAAACGGCGGCGCTCCGCGCCGCCGTTTTAGGTACACCTTATCATACATCAATTATACAAATGTTGTAAAAATTTCAGACTAAGGTCATTCAAGGTCAGGTCACCAGGTCACTTGAAGTGACCTCACCTCATAAAAAGTTTCAATGTCTGTCACAGCTACACCGAGTGACCGATCGCTTTGAAACTTTCAGCGATTGCTAAGAGCAATAGCATGTACAAAATGTGTATCTCAGAATTTTGATATCGATGACCTAAGGTCAGGTCAATTTTGCGACCTCCCCATTATAAGTCAATGGGAGAAAATTCAAATGCGCCTCTTTTGGACGAAAGACATTATAAACACCCCCAAACACCGAATTACAAGTGGTTTAGACACACTGAACATGAAAATGGTGTCCGTGACCCTTGTTTGTGCCCTGAGGTCATCTTAGGTCACGAATGGCATCTTACAGTTTTTCGCAATAACTTTTGATAGAGGCATGCTAGAGCGATGAAAACGCCTTATGTGTGTTCAGCTCGACGATACAGATCGACTGATATGCAACATGACCCTTTCCGGTCAGGTCATGACCTTGACCTGAGGTCAAATTTTCAAGTTGACCTTTCAAGGTCAAGTTATAGTTCATTCGATGTGTCTTGACGAGAGGAACACGATGCCGGTGAAAGGAAGCTCGTACAAGGCTTGGGTCAAAAGTTATTGCAGAAAAACTGTTTCCGAAAAAATCGGCTATTTTTGCAGTTTTTGCCCCCTGCAGGCAAAACCGTTGACGTTAGGTCAAATCTGAGATAATTAATCAGAAAGGGCGTTAACCCGCGCCCCACTGGGGTCTGCGTATAACACGCCCTACTGGGGGGGGGCTATTCATAGCCCCCCCCTCCTAACTCCGAAACTACTGGGCCGATCGTCAAAATTCAAACGGCGTCTGATAGTCCCGGAAAAACTGTCGAGCGAAACCTAATTTCATTGAACTCGAGGTCACCGATGACGTCACAAGTCAGGTCAAAGTAAAAATTATTAGCATTTTGGCTTGTTCACGTTTTGGGCTCTGGCCGCCGTCCTACAAGTCAGATCAGGCTCATTTTTGGTTCACACACTCGTGAACAGATGCTCTAGATACCCTGAGGGTACCAAACTTGTACTTTGATTTTCAGGTCAAGGTCAGGTCATCACAGGTCACGAAAATATTATATCATGCGTCGGTCACGTGACACATGCTTTATGGTCCATTTAGGCCAAATATTTCGAATTTGATGTCGTCTGTGTCATTCGAGGTCATTTTGAGTCGAATTTAGCTTAGGTTAGGTCACTCAGGTCAAAAAAGGTCAAATTTTAAAGTTATAATTTTTCAACAGAAAAGGTATCTATTGGATGCAGTTTGAGCTCAGGAACACGATGGTGCTATTTATATTGGCGTGCGATGTCAAATACGTGGTGAAAAATTGATTTGAAAAAATTAATAATTGTGAATTTTTTTTGCAATAATGCGTATAACTTGGCCATTTTTGAAGATATTTAGCTGAAACTTGCTAGAGTTAGTCATAATAACGCGTTCTATCACATATATTCCGGTTTTTTTCGAAAAGTCAAAAACTTTTTGAAAAAAAAAATGTAAAAATGTAAATCTTGAATTTTCTTATATAAAATTTTCAAAATTTTCAAAATTTCGAAAATCTGAGATAGCAGTTTGATAGCGCAGTCTATTCTGAGTCCTCTCATGCAAAGAAATTGGATCTAGCTTAACCCGGCAGTTGCTGGGGTATTTCGCCACCCACCGTTTGCTGGGGGGGGGCATTAAACGCCCCCAGCCGATAACTCGAGGACCAATAGGCGCAGCGAACCGCACGAGGCGGCAGACGAAAGAGCGCGACGAGACGCTTCAGATGAGTACTTAAAAGTTGAATTTTGAGGTCACAGGTCGGGTCAAGGTCAGGTCAAACACCTGAAATCGGGCTTTCAGTAGCATGGACTTCAGGACTTCGCAATGGGCGCCTCTCGTCATAAACTCTGTCAAAACGGTGCACAATCCATCATATAAGGCCTACAAGCGTGTCAGCTCCATGTAGGGGACAGTCAAGCATAAGTCAGGGTCAAGGTCAGGTCAACCGGGTAGGCACATATCCCCGAAAATCAAAACTGATATTCGCAGCCTGTGACACATGTTTTATAGGTAATTTGGGGCGTAGAACACGATGGTGACATTCATTTTATCATATGTGTACGTGTTTGGCTCAAAAAGTTCAATTTAAGAAATGCATGTATCATGGTCTTGAAGTAGTCACGAAAAATTGCCAAGATTCAGTTCAAGATTATGGAAAATGCGGAACGATAATCAATAATCGAAGATAGCCATTTGATTGATCTTGGTATTGGCAGTCTAATGGCGTTTACAGCATGTCTGTATGTCTATTCTGTGATTTTATATGATTTTTTGAACATATGCCGTTTTTGGTCGAAAACTCAGAAATCATGACGTCACTAAAACCTCGATATCTCAAAAAGTTTTCGACCGATTTTTTTTAAACTTCGTCACAATAAACTTCAATCAATTCCCTACAGGTACCCGAAATTTGGCGCGCCTGCGGCGCGCCGTTTTTATGCTATGGCCCGGAGAAAAAAGTGGGGGCGTTTAACGCCCCCCCCAGCAACTCGTGGGTTAACCCGCGCCCCGTAGGGGGGGGGCCGAAACGGCCCCCCCCCTGTCCTTTTCGGTCGATATCTCCTAAACGGCTGGAGATATCGCCACCAAACTTTCAGGACCCCTCCGGGCATCAATTTTACACATTGTGACCAAAAATTTTTCCAGAGGCTGTGATAGGTTGGCCACAAATGACGTCAGAGTGACGTCATGTTCTGTCATTTTCGACCGAAAAAAGACCTTCGCGAGAAGACCTGTCAGGCCTACAGCTTTGAAGATACAGAAAAATGATCAAGACATAAAAAGTGTAGAATTAACAGGGCTACAAAACTGCTATCTCGGATTTTTGAAATTTTTGAGTTTTGATCCCCAAAAATCAAAAAAGCATTTTTTTAGATATATTAGCCAAAAAATCCAAAAAGTTTTTTGAGTTTCGAAAAAAACCGGAATATATGTGATAGTACCTACCATCTTCTATCTACATACCAAATTTCAGATCGATACCTCGTTTTTTGGCCAAGTTATAGCGAAAAAACTGTTCAAAAATGATGACGTCAAATTTTCAAACTCAATTTTTGGCAATTCTAGAACTCGTAGAGCAAAACAAAGACCACCATTAGACTCCCTGTGACGAGCTGCATCGAATGGATACCCATTTTATGCAAAAATATCAACTTTGAAATTTGACCTAATTTGACCTGACCTTGACCTGACCTTCACCAAAACGTGACCTAGGCTGGCCCCAAAGGCTGCCTAACCCACATAATCGCATTTGTCATGTAAAATGGACCATAAAACATGTATCACACGACACATTCATATTGTGACCCCCGGTGACCTGACCTCGCTGTGACCTGACCTGGTATCAGTGACCTCAGATAGCAAAGTATGTGTTTGACGAACAATATGCCATCGATGGTTTTCAATAAATTACCAATTTACTCGATTTCACAGCACATTTCTTGAATTGCCTGTGAACGGTGAAAATCTGACATTTGACCTGACCTGTGACGTCATCGGTTTGACCTAGGTCAATGAAATTTGGTCACAAGGTAGTTCCCGGGTAGGGCTATCAAACGCCGTTTGAATTTTGAAAATCGGCCGGTAACTTTCCGAGATCTTAGGGGGGGCCGAAACGGCCCCCCCCTACGGGTGGTAGGGTCCGCCGGTAGCCCTACGGGGCGCGGGTTAACCCTATTCCTGGCGGGGGGGCCTCAGGAGCCCCCCTGAGGTTTTTTGGTTATTTCTCCCAAACGCGTTGAGCTAGGAAGCTC